CATGAGAAAACATGCTCTATTTTCATCTCCCACTCCAAGTATGCTTCCGGATCACTTTTTCCTTTGAACGGAGGAATGTTAAGCTTGACTCCTTCAAGCCTACTTGGTCTTGTTACTCCATCATTCATTCTCCTATTTCTCCTTTCTTCTTCGTCTTCAGAATTTCTATTCTCCAATCGGTTCAATCTTTCATACAACTCCTCGGTATGCTCTGTCAACATTCTTTGCATTTGGGCTGTAATGGCATCAATCAATAATCTATTGTCATCCCCTAGAGGAGGGGTACCACCACTTGCACCTGCCATCTTTTGAACCTTGCTCTGAATACCAAATGATATGAAGCACAAGGGGGTAATTTAGGATCTTTAGGGTTAAAACATTGTAAGAAATTTAGGAATTAGAAAGAAGGTGGAAGGAAAGAATCACTCTTCCCAAGGGAGGCAACACACAAAGGATGTGACAGTCCTTTGATACAGCCAAGGGTTCTTGAATCACTCAAGAATTTAGGAGAATCACTCTCACTAAGATAAAAGAGATAAACTCTAATATTTCTGAATAAAATTTCACTTCTTCCTCCTCAGTGTCTTCACTCTTTTCACCCTCTTCAACCTCAGATTCACTTATATATTCTCCCTCTCTAAGAATCATGGTCTTTGTGTTAGGACACTCATAAGCATAGTGTCCTAGGCCTTGACACTTGAAACACTTCACATCTCTACTTTTTTTAGAGGGTTGTTCTTCATATTTTGAATGGGTCTTTGTAGGAATAGGTGTGGAACTACTAGAAGTAACAGTCCCATCTTTTTTGCCTTTGTCCTTCCAACTTGAAAATCCAAAGTTGGTAAAACTCTTCTTAGTCACTTCTTTTCTTTTGAGTTGTTGCTCCACTCGAATTGCTTTATGAAGTAAATCCTCCATATCAACAAACTCCTGCAACTCAACAATATCACATATATCAATATTCAAACCACCAATAAATCGGGCCATAGTTACCTCTTCATCTTCTTCAATCTTTGCTTGAATCATGAGCATGTCCATTTCTTTGAAATACTCCTCAACCTCTTTGTTGCCTTGAGTAAGTTTTTTGAGTTTAAATTTCAAGTCCCTTGCATAACTAGCCGGCACATACCACTTCCTCATGATCCTTTTCATCTCAGTCCATGTATTAACCATTGGCTCTTCATTTCTATCTCTCTCCTTTTGTAGCTTGTTCCACCAAACAAGAGCATAGTCAGAAAATTTTGTTGTTGCAAGCCTCACCTTTTGGGCCTCCTCATAATTGTTGCATGAGAAAACATGTTCTATTTTCATCTCCCACTCCAAGTATGCTTCTGGATCACTTTTTCCTTTGAACGGAGGAATGTTAAGCTTGACTCCTTCAAGCCTACTTGGTCTTGTTACTCCATCATTCATTCTCCTATTTCTCCTTTCTTCTTCGTCTTCAAGATTTCTATTCTCCAACCGGTTCAATCTTTCATAGAGCTCATTGTTATGTCGTATCATTAATCCTTCCAAATGTTGTACCAATACTCTCATTTGAATTGGACTAATTCCTGCTTCTTGATTGTAATTTTCCTCTTCTGCCATCAATTTGATGTTTGAACCCTTAAACCGGAGTTCTGAATACCAAATGCTTCTATTGAGCCTTTTGTAATTCTGATGGCAACGCTTCTATATTAGCTGAACCATTCTTATCAAGAAATAACAAGTGAAATTTTATTCAGAAATATTAGAGTTTATCTCTTTTATCTTAGTGAGAGTGATTCTCCTAAATTCTTGAGTGATTCAAGAACCCTTGGCTGTATCAAAGGACTGTCACATCCTTTGTGTGTTGCCTCCCTTGGGAAGAGTGATTCTTTCCTTCCACCTTCTTTCTAATTCCTAAATTTCTTACAAGGTTCTAACCCTAAAGATCCTAAATCAACCCTTGTAATTCATATCAACTTTCAACACACTCCCTCCAACGAAGTCTGCCAGACCAGGCAAAGGGTACTTTTGACCCAACTAAAGGGCAACTTTTGGCCCATGACAATAACCGGAAAGATGTTAGGCTTTGGCTCTGATACCATGTTAAGGTTCCAACATAAAACCAATTGGCAATATGTGGATTAGCCTAACATGTATTTAAATCATACCAAATGACATGAGGTGGGCGATGTGAGACTTTCAACACGGTGAATATGCAACTGTCAATTGTCTTTGCATTCCATGCGTATGACAGAAGTTATTAAATTCCTGAGATGTGAACTCACTTCCACGATCTGTGCGCAACCCTTTAAGTGACATATTTGTGGCTTTCTCAACATGTAACTTGAAGCTTTTGAAAACAGTAAAAGCCTCTGATTTTTCTGCCAAAAAATAAACCCAAGTTTTTCGACTGAAATCATCAATAAAAGTAAGCAAATACCTTCTCTTACTGTTTGAGGTTGGCTTAATTGGTCCGCAAATGTCAGCATGAACAAGCTGAAGAATCTGTGAAGCTCTCCAAGAACTTCTCATAAGAAATGAATCTCGATGTTATTTCCCAAGCAAACAATATTTACATAACTTAGAGGGCGGCTTAAACAGTGGTAAATCTTCCACCATTACTTTTTGTTGCAGAATCTGTAAGCCTTTAAAACTTAAGTGCCCAAACTTGCAATGCCACAGTTGCGCTACATCTTCCGTAACTGTGTTTAAACAAATGGGTGCTACTGGCATGGAGATGACATGCAAGATAAACATTTGATTCGATGACATATTAGATTGCATAATCAAACCTTTGTCTGGATGATATATTTTGCATTTTTCCTGCTGAAATAAAATGCTCATCCCCTTCTCTTGCAATTGTCCCAGACTCAGCAAATTGTTCTTCAATTCCAAAACATAAAAAACTCCCGAGATAATGCTAATAACTCCATTTACATCAAGTCTAATGTTGTTTTTCCCATTAACCACCATATTTGAATTATTTCCCAGCTTCACTGAATTTGAGAAGTTGTCATCAAGCTCAGAAAAATATTCCTTTTTGCCACACATGTGATTACTATACCCAGAGTCAAGAAACCAAACATCTGACTTTTGTTGCTCCTTTGCTTCAACATAAGCCAACAACATGTGTTCTTCGACATTGTCTTATTGACTTTCTGCAAAATTTGCCACCTCTTTTCTACATTCTCATTGAAAATGTCTGAGCTTATGACAATTATAGCATTCCACTGTTGCTTTATCAATATGTTGCTTGCTTCTTCCATGAATTCTACCTCCAAAATTCCAATGCCCTCTTCCTCGTCCAGCATTTTGGTTGCTCTGAGTCACCTTCAGAGCATGTTCTTCATGGACAGTATTACACATGCTTTGTTCATGCACAAGCAAACTGCTTTGCAATTCATCAATTGATAGTATATTTATATCCTTGGATTTTTCAATGGAACACACAATATAATTGAACTTTGGTGTCATGGACCTTAAAATCTTTTCTACCACATCAACCTCTTTTAAATCGTCACCATTGGCTTTCATCTTGTTACTAATGACAAGAACACGAGCAATGTACTCATTCACTGATTCTCCTTCCTTCATGTGAGCAGTTTCAAACTCCTTTCGCAAAACTTGGAGATGAGCACGCTTTACACGGGTTGTTCCTTCATATTTATGCTTCATGGAGTCCTAAATATTCTTTAATGTATCTTTGTTGATTATAGTTTCCAAAATTGAATGATCTAAAACTTGAAATAGATAGTTCTTAGCTTTAAGATCCTTCAATTTTTGCTCTTCATAAGTTTTCTTTTGTGCCTCAGACAAAGTGACACATTCTGCTGCTGCAAAAACTTCATTTTTCACCACAACCCAATACTCCTTTAATTGAAGAAAATTCTCCATAAGCATTACCCATTAATTGTAATGACCATCAAATTTTGGCACTACGGTTAAACAAAAGTACCCTCTGTAGCCATTGTCGTTGCTTAAAATCGAGAAGATTGCTGCTTCTACATAGTCCCTTGCAAGGCTCTGGTACCAAATGATGAACCTAACTATAAAGTGATCGAGAGAGAGAGTTTGAAAGGAGAAAAATATCTATTATACTTAAATAGAAAATATCAAACTATTAAATAACTTTTATGACAAAGCAAAATAGAAATTACAAGCTAGATTTTAACTTACACGAAATTAAATAAAAGAATCCCAAATAAAATGAGATTTTATTTATCTAATTCCTAACAAGAGTAAAGTGAATTTGATAGAAATGAAACAAACATGTATGAAACAGAATAGACGAAAACAGTAAAGTTGAATAAAAAAGAATGAAATAAATGAGGAATAATTGTTATTATTATTATAATAATAAAAAGTGCGTAATTTTGTGATGAAAAAAAATCTAAGGTGCAAGGATCACTCTGGGTGTTTGAGGTGTTCCAATTTCCTGACACGAGATAGGTATGCAGGAAGTGTTGATGGCAATATTGGCAGTTTTTAAACTGAAGACAGAAGGGTTAGGGCTAGGATTCAAAGATAAGGTTGCACGTGTTTGGCACATCCTTAATTCCTCAGGCAGAGTGAGAAAGTTCAGTTGATGGAGTCAAAAGTTGTCGATTAACGACGTTACAATTGGAGCGACATCGCAATTCCACGTTGTCTTCGTTGTCGAAGATGTTCAAGTTCATTCTCCTTTAATAAAAAGGACAAATACATAGGAAGGGGCATGGCAATCGGCAAAGACAGAGACTGAGATTGTCACCGTACGTTGGGTTTGTCTGTTATTATTTTTTTTAAAAGCCCAGGCCCAAAGCCCAATCAAACGCGTTCCACGTCAGTGACAAGCAACGTCATTATCTAAAATAAAAAAGTCATTACGGAGACAGCCCCACCGGCCACCTTCCTTTCCATCTCACAACGCTACGTGTTCGGTCTTATCCTTTTCCTTCTTCGGACACGCTATAAAAACCCTGACGTTACCCCCTTAAAGCCCTAACTGTTACTCAAACTGTTCTCAAACAGAAATCCAACGTCAAACTCGAGAAATGGCCGCCACTTCAATCCCCATCCGAGTAGTCGGAATCCAAGCCTGCGCCACCTCTGGCCGCCGCAAGACCGATGCCGATCGCCGAAGAAGCTCCTCCGCCAACTGGTGGACCCCGCTGTTCGGTTGGTCCTCTGAACCGGACTACATTGAGTCCAACAGCAAAGCATCGAGTATGCAGCCCGCTAAGCTGGAAGCCGTTCCGGCGGCGACGGAGTCGAAACCGCCGAGACCGCGCTTCGCGGGTGGCTTCACTGAGGAGAAGGCGAAGCAGCTCCGGATGATGACCACAGAGTCCTTTCACGACACCATGTATCATTCCGCGATCGCTTCTCGACTAGCCTCAGAGTTCAAGGACAGCGCCGATCTGTAACATTTTACATAATTTTTGTACTATTTCTTCGTCCGTGTATTATTTGGATTGTCGTAACCCAATTTTAGGTTCCAATGTAACCGTTGATGGAAAATGATGTAAGATGTTAGGGTTTAGATTTTAGACTATCAATTGCTACCACCATAGTGGTAGCAAGGATATAGGAGCATAAAATGAATATATAATTGACTATTAAAATTGATGAACTTCGATCGGTGGATTTAGAAGCATGGTGTATTTTTGGGAGTTTAATTCGATTTGTTTGATCGATTTGCCTTTTCTTTTACGTGGAGTGTGGGGGAAGTAGTGTGACGGCATCATCATCAGCAGCATTATCTCAAGTTAGTAGTGGTTGGTGGGTCCGATCTGACTCAAATGTAGCGACTAAGCAAATAATAACTGGGTGAAGGAGCGTTGATAAGAAAGAAATAATTAATTAATTGCGCACTTGGCTGCAACGCCGTAGGAGTAGCTGATCGGCATGGAATCTTTGTGAAAATAAAAAGATCTAAATTTTTTAAGTGCATCCGTCCAGGGGAATATACCCAGCCTCTGCCTCTGGGTGTCCCTGTCTAATAAGAATATTGCCATGTTAGTGGGATCTATAAAACAAACTAATCTTGTCTGAGTTCACTGTAGCTGCAAATTGCGCAACGGAATCTTTAAAGTATATTTCCACTCGCTTTCATTTGAACAAAATTCGGCAGACAATATGCTCGTTCTGTAATCACAAACTCAAAAAACTATTCGCATACACTTGTATTTTGTAGAAAGCAAAAACTATTATTTTTTCGTCAATAATAACAAACTAGGCAATACAATACACTTAACAGGCCAATATTTGGAGGTGTTTTTGTTGATATTTCACTTTATAATTTTAGCCGAGCAAAATTGTCGAATACTAATACTAATAATAATAATAATAATAATAATAATAATAAAATAAAATAAAAACAAGTGATGAAAAACAGAAACAGGCAAAATGTCACGATATCAACTTGTATTAGCGTCAAAATAAAACAATAGAAACTTTGTCAGAGACGCGTACCAGAAAAACATCGTTTTTTATGTGTCGGAATTTTTTTTTAGGCTCGGTCGACGAACAAATTCGTCGGCAGTGCAAGCATGAAGGCCCAAAACAGAATAAGGTAGACGTAAGCACCGGTTTTTAGTGGCTATTCAGACCCCAAAAATAAAAGAAAAAATAAAGGCCCAGTAAAACAGCAACCACTTTTCTTTTATGTTATGCTTTGGATGAAGAAGTTTAGAAGGGTATAAATAATTAAGACATCTTTGAGATAATTACAAATTTCCATTTTTTGTTATTAAGTTTTAATTTCAAAACAAAATAAGTTCAGTTAACATAAAATTGAATAAGTTTTGAACTCAATTTTAAAATACTTTTACCTCAATTGTTTAAGAAAAAAACACTAATGAATTTTAGCTGGTTACAAAAATAAATCATTCAACTGTTATTTCTTCTAATAGACATGGAACAAACAACTACCCTCGACATTACTACTGCAAAGTAATTGTCGTCACTACTAAAATCATGACTGGCCAACGAGCATCATCATGCCCACTGCTCCAACCTCATCAGTCCTCAAACAACCATTGCCACCCCCCTAACGTTGTCATCCAAGGTCAAAACAATAGTCAACCTCAGTCATTTCCATGGACACCATAATTATTGTTATCACCACTGTAATATCATTGCTAACATTACTTCACTAGTTAGTATTATTACCACACCAATTCCATCACGACAAGTCCACAATTATCACAACTTCACCCTCTCTTGTCTCCTACCTTTATTGCCCCGACCCTCAGCGTATAAATAAACATGAATTCAGAAAGAATTAATTTGTAATTGTATTTAAGATTTTTATATTGAAATTTGAAAATTAAAAATCACAAATTTCAAACTGAAGATTATAAAACTGAAAACTGATTTTAATTTTGAATTTTAAAACTAGTGATCAAATCGATTAAGGCCTTAACTTTACACTTTCAAATTAAAAAAAAATGATGGAAAAGGAAACCTCTTCTTGAACATAAAAAACTAAGTATCTTAAGTTACTTAAAATTAAAAACTTAATCCCCTTTTCCCTTTCTAAATGTCTCAATCCAAAAAACATATCCTAGGTTGCATCAGTGTGTTGTTTAACCAACTGATAAATTAAGGGGTGAAATCAACGCAGTTAACCAACCTGACAGAAACACCAAGTGATCATATTCATACTAGACACTAGTTTACTGTGGTTTGTGAAATGCGCACTGCACTGCTAAAGACAGACGTGATGCCACGTATAAGAAGCACAAACTAAGCTTAAATCCGGATATAAAATAAATAATCTATGCATCTCTTCATCATGAAAATGACAATGAAAACCTAAGACATCTAATTCAGCATTTTTTTTCTATGAAGGTATAAATCAGATCCAATACAACTATAAATACATTAAATATGGACGAGATTTTCCATGGTGATAAAGGATATGCATAATGATCCACGGAAGCCACTTAAAGCATCAAATTATCCACAAATCAACATCTAGGTGACAAGAAATGGCATTGATATCAAAAGAGACATGGGATAAGTTTGCTGAATTTACAACACTTGAAGATCAAAGAACAGTCTCCAAATTCCATAATTATTCTACAGAAAGCAAAATCCGCAAGGCAACAGCATAATAATCTTCCAAAATAATTAAAGATAATGACACATGTTCAAAATTGGCCTATGCAATTTAAGGTGTTACCAAGATGTTGAGCTGCAAATAGTGGTCAAAAAAATATATTGACGACCAGAGATTGTGATTTAAACGATACTTAAGAAATGTCTGAAGCATGCTCTGCATAATCACTTGCTCTCTTTATCATAAAGGTCTGTTCTGGATACAGCCGTTAGGGAGAAACAAGACGACAACAACAAAGTACAACAACAACAACAGAGTAGGCTTATCTCATTAAGTAAGATCGGCTACATGAATCATACAACACCATTAGGGACAGTTACAAATAAAATTAAAATATAAAAATTAAGGGAGTAGTATCTTACATTTTACATTAGCTTTCAACTAATGTAATTAATAAACAATTCAATATTTATACAATTAACAAAGAAATTATAGCTTGCAAATTTGGTAAGACATGTAAGTGGAGAACAAAAAATCTTCCACCGAATTATATTGCTATTTACTAGTTATTATACTCTAAGGAATAACATTTTTAAACTCCAAACTAGACATAGAACTAACATCTTTATGTATTTCTCTGGCTTGCACATGTCTTAGTTACTGTAACATCTTATTTGCCTTTCATCTGGCTAAGCCCTTACAATACAGACAGGCTAGTTCACAGAACAAATAGTCCACATCTCAAACACAAACTGATGTTAAGCTTTGCACTACTATCTCTCAACATGTGATTAAAATAAAAAATGTTGAAAAATCCTCATGATTATTAAATCAGGCATCATGAGACATTAATTGCATCTCATCAACTGTTTTTGTGAAGGATGCTGAGGAAAGATTCATACGTCCTGATTGTGTGCCTCTTTGTCAGCCAAATGTGATCATAGATTGTCCATTGTTCAATGGGATGAATCCAACATCAGAAAAACTCCTCACACCCCAAAAGTCAAGCCTCTCAAAATATTAATTGAAAATTGGTGTCTACAAGTGTTGACACTATGACCAAATAAAATGGAGTAGCCCTATAATATTATTTCCCCTTTCCCAGTTTTCTCACACGAAACAATAAAACGGAAAGTTAATTGGACCTATATATAAGAGATACTAAGGGAATATTTAGAAGAGTTTATTCTGTCTTAAGATCTTGTAAGATCATTTTAGCTCATTTTGAAAAGTTTCTTGATGAAGCTTAATCAAAAGAACAAAAGAAGCTCTTCATAAGCTCTTCTGAGAAGTAACCTTATTGAATAAAAACTTACTTGAGTTGTTCATCCAAATACGCCATAATTCGTTAGAAGCCATTGCTATCACAATGACTCGACCAATACAATCACTAGCACTCTCAGAAAAAGAAATGACAACTTCCGTTAATTTTTTATTTTTTATTTTTAAAACAGCCACATTAAAACCCTAAATGCATATCATCTAAAAATACTGCACATCCCATAACCATGTTCAAATATGCAGACCCATTTTGCAATCCTACGCACCAAACTCCAACCTGATTTCCAAGCATGCACTGACCAAAATTAAATTACACCAAAGCCACGACGGATATGGTAAAATTAAAAGTAATGAAACCATTAAAGTATACACAACAATACCATTCTAGCAGGATCACGGAGTATCAAGAAAAGGATACATCAAATAGAAACCGTGAGCAAAGCCCCCAGCCAACACAGCCGTAAACAAGCGATCTCTCAGGACGGGTTTATGTCTCAGCGATAGACGAACTGAAAATAGAAAAAAAAAAAATAAGAAAAAGCGAATAAATGAAGTATTTGAAAGGGAAGGGGGTGAAGGGAATGGAAAAGTAACATACTTAGAGGGAGAACAGGGGCGTATATGAGAGGAATAAGGAACTTAATTGGGGGTCCGTTGTTCTTCCTTCTTACAACAGCTTCTCTGTGAAATTAAAGCAAAAGGTGAAGAGAGGATTGAGGAGATGAAATTGAACAAAACAATGTGAGAATATGAGAATCTAAAGAGGAGAGGATTACTGGTTGGAAGGATCGGAGGGCGTGGCCATGGCGGAATGGGGGGATTGGAAATTGGAAAGTTCGTTTGATCAGAGACCTCTACGAAAAATATTTGGCTATCAAACGAGAGAGTCAAATGACAAAAGCTATTCACATCACCAGAGTTTATAATTGGATTAGTAAAAATGGTAAATCTTATATGCATATAATTAGGTGATTTTAGTGTTATATTTTATTAGAGTTTTCATTTTGATAATATATATATATATATATATATATATGAAATAAATGGTGGTAAAATTGTGAAAATTTTGAGTTTTTTATTCTTACTTTGGCAATGACATTTACCCCTCAATATTATTGGTAATGAATGAAGTGTAAAGGATACTGATATATTTAAAATGCATAATGTGACAAAATTTGATATAAAAGAAAATAAGATGAAAAAACATAAGAAGAATATACATAGGATCAAGGCAAGAAGATTTAATTTTTTTCCTCGATAAATAAATACAAATAAGATTAATGATTTTCAAGAATAATGAATCATGTAATCTTATTTAAATTTTAGTTAAAAAAATTATTACTTACCAATAGTATTGTATGTATTAATTGTCTCATGGGAGAGGTCCAATAAATGTTTTACTTGAAAATATATTTTTTAGGCATATACTTTTTAGTTATTGTTGATTATATTATTTGCAGATTACATAACATACAGTGATGGAAGGTGGTAACAAATTGAAATTGATGGTAAAAAATAATAAGAATCATAATAATAGATTTAGAGATAAGTTTATATTATTTTTTTTTATTTACAGGAGAAAAATAAACTGTTAAATATAAAAATAGATTTTATTTTTAGATAAGTGAGAAATTAGACCAACAAGATAGTACTTACCATCAAGAAAAAAAACATCTATTATTCATTCATAAAATATTTAAAATTTTTAATATTTGTGAATATTGATCAATATTAGCTTATATTTTTTATTTTAAATAAAATTATTTTATAAATTTTTTTAATTTTTATCATAAAATATAGTTTAAATAAAATATAAAATAAAATATTAATATAAAATAAAATTAATCTTTATAAAATATAGATTTCAATTATATAGTTTTTTTAAGTTATAATTAGGTAAAGAATATAAATTTATAAATTTTAATTTTAATTTTAGATATTTTTTAATATTTTCTCATCAATAATTTCATTAAAAATATATGTTAAATAAAAATTATTAACATGTACCTGATTAAATAATATAATATTTGTATCTATCTTGTTAAATAGTAATTAAAATATTCATTCTATTTATTATAACTATTCATTTAATATATCCGTAACAAATGTTCACTATAAATATCTAAATGTATGGACTTTTTTTCATTTATTCTTTGACCTCGAATATGACTAACGATCTCAATTAACGAATGAATACAAATTAAACTGTTTATAAAAAAAGAAAAATATATATATGTAATATCATAAGTATTATTAATACTTATTTTTCAATTAAATTTAAAATTTTATCTTAATAATATATCATACATTTAATAAGAAGTTAATCATGTAAAAAAAGAAAAAGAAAAAAGAGAGAGTATAATGTTAATAGAATAATTCTTTAGCATATGTAATGGTAAAAAAATAGAAAGAAGTTCAATCTGAACATAGAAAAATTGATGAATGGTCAAAGTCATAAAGATGAAAGTAATCAATTGTTTCTCTTCTTTCACAAGGCTGTTTCGTAAATTCAAATAAGTTTTTTTTTTTATTATTATTCACAAATTCAAATTGCTTTTTATAACCGTAATATGGTAAAATATGTCTTATGAAAATATTTTTGATAATTTTTTTAATAATTAAAAAAATAATCTATTTCATTATTAATCTTTAATTTTATATATATATATATATATATATATATATATATATATATATATATAATTTGTTCAAGATAAACAATTAAAGTGATGTGATATAATTTTACTTTTATCGTTGACCAATTTTATTTTAATACATTAATATTCAAAATTAGTTTATTAATAAAATTTCCGGTACAATATTTAATAATTGAATCAAGATATTTCTTTGTGCAATTAATTTAAATGTTTCAAGTATAAATATTATTTTGTAATGACTATAATTATGATTTTTTTATAAATCAAAGAGAAAATAAAAAATAATTTAATGAATATATAAGATATATTTGGTTAGTGAAAAATAATTTATGGACAAGAGTGACATAAATAATTTTAAATATATACTAAAAATTATCAATATTGATTTTAAAGAATATGGTTTTAAAAAATCATATGACTTTAAATTCTTTACAAAATTAGTTATTTTAATTTTGATTATTTATAATTAAACTAATGGTAAGAAAAAAATGCAAAATATATAATCTAATATTTATATTAAAAAAAGTGAGAAAAAAAAGTACGAGATAAGTATGTCACAAATAATAAAATGTTTATTCTAGTAGCTTGTAGATTATTTTGGCTAGCTTATACCTAAAAGATAAAAATTTATATTAGAATAATGACATTATTAAATTTATTATCATATGAGTATTTTGGATGATTCTATTTCCTATAGAATTAGGATCTTAATTATTAAGATGCTTGATTATGTAAGGACATAAACTACACCATCCTACAGTAATTTTTAGTAATTGAAGGTTGTACATATTCTATATTTTTTAAATTTTGTATAATTCGGTAAAAAATAATTAAACAGCATAAGAAAACAAGCCAATTTAACACATTATAATATAATACATAAACATTTAATGTATAAATTATTTAATATTTTTTCATTCTAAAATATTAACCACTGAACTCTAAATTAAAATATTTTATACGGAGACAATAAAGATCTTTTCTAAAAGTTCTATTTATTTTTGTAAATATTTAGATATTTTATAATATTTTAATAAATATGTAAATAATTATTTTAATCTAATTGACTATTTTGATTTACTGGTAATTATTAATCACTTCTTAAGACATTTTTAGTGTAAATTACTTTAAAGATTCTTAATATATATATATATATATATATATATATATATATATATATATTTTTTTTTTTTTTTAATTCTTATTAAAAAGTACCTCAGAGGAGAGACAACTCTTATTAGAAATGTTTTTAGTAACGGATTTATTTTTAACTATTTATTTCATGCATTTTCTTATTGTTTTATTTCATTGTTTTAGTAATTATTTTTTATGCGTTTTTATGACAATTTTATTTGACAGGATTTATTTCTATTTTATTAATTATTTAATAATTAAATATTTGAGTTATATTAACTAATTTTTTATATGATTAATGTGTTTACACTTGTTTTAATAATGAAAATGTAGACGAACAATGCAAAGCAAAAGGAGCGCGTGAATCTTAAGCCGCGATGGAGTTGGTGCTTTATCCACAACAATTGAATAATGCAATGGCAACGGTGTATGGTGTATGCTATGGCGTGAGATTGAAGCCAATGCTTGATTGTGGCGTGGTTTTCAAGTCCACACCCTCCAATGGCAAACTTTATAAGCACCACCTCCCCGTCCCACCTCCATCCTCATTCACACCCACTCCTCCCTCTTCAACGTTGTTCATTTACCATGGTATGTACGTAGGCCTCTCTCTTTGTGGACACTTCGCATGCTTCATTTTTTTTCATCATTTTTCTTCGCACCTTCTATATATCTTTAACCTTCTATACATAGGCTTTGCCACAGCACCAACCGGTTGACTATCCCAGTTTCAAGCTGGTCATCGTAGGCGATGGAGGAACTGGTATATATTCCTCTCTCACTCACTTCATTTTTCTTATAATGACTGTTATGCGCTAACTACATGAGTTGGTGTTACAGGGAAAACTACTTTTGTAAAGAGACACATAACTGGGGAGTTTGAGAAGAAATATGAACGTAAGAATAACTCTTTAACAGCTATAGTTGAGATAAATATTTGTCTTTCCAGCATCCCTTCCTTCCCTTCTGCGTCTCTTCTCTTACTTTATGCTGTCCCTAACATTTCATTTTATTTTACAACAATAGCAACCATTGGTGTGGAGGTTCACCCACTAGACTTCCACACCAACTGTGGAAGAATTCGCTTTTATTGCTGGGACACTGCTGGCCAAGAAAAATTTGGTGGTCTGAGAGATGGTTACTAGTAAGTTTAAATAGCGTTCTATGGGACGTGCTTCTTTCATTTTAATCTTAATTTAGTTCTATTTCAAACCAATTTTAATTCGTAATTATTAATTGCATAATTATGTGTGTCATAATTGTTCAAACATGTTATTGTATTTATTATAATGTTATCTTCTAATTTTAACCACCTAGTACTTTTAATATTGTCTAGGCGAGCATGTAGAAAGTAATAATATGGATATATGAAAGTTTTGCGAACTAACATATATATTGTTAACTCATGTACAATATGAATAGAGGAAAATGGAATGACATAAAACTATATGTCTGGTTCATGTAATTGTGTCAACTCTCGAGGGATGACAGCATGTGTTTGTATTTATCTTCTTAGATTCGAGTACAACTTCTCCTTAATTTTTTTTTTCTTTCTGATTTATTAGTCGATTCTGAACTGTGTTCTTTTATTTTGTTCACCTTGTTTCCTGGCATGTAATCTTCAGCATGTTCGAAGTTCTAACCCTGTCCAATAGCTGCTATGTTATTTGGCTTTATGGCTAACAGAAAATTCCTACATTTTGTTGACAAATTTATTGGAAGATTGTTCTGATGTCCTAATGCAAACCTCCTAATTATTTGCAGTATTCATGGCCAGTGTGCTATCATTATGTTCGATGTAACGGCTCGGTTGACATACAAGAATGTTCCTACATGGCACAGAGATCTCTGTCGGTGCGTTGAGTATATTTTTCATAAATAGCTTTGGCGTTGTAATGTATTTCTCTGTTGAGTATGTCACTCTTTTTCTTTTTTTTTTGTTAATCATAGGGTGTGTGAGAACATACCCATTGTTCTCTGCGGAAACAAGGTTGATGTGAAGAATAGACAGGTCAAAGCAAAGCAGGTTACATTTCACAGGAAGAAGAATCTGCAGTACTACGAGATATCTGCAAAGAGTAACTACAATTTCGAAAAACCCTTTTTATACCTTGCCAAGAAACTTGCAGGGTACGTAACAGAATGCCTCATTATTTGTTTATTCTATTGTTGTTAATATGCCAATCTCACGAATTTATTGGTCTTGTGATTCCAGGGATCCGGGCCTGCATTTTGTGGAGATGCCTGCCCTTGCTCCCCCGGATGTAGTCATTGATCTAATAACACAACAAATGTAAGAACTCTTATCTGTTATTTATATGATTTATTCACACTAGGCAGTTCTGACTCACTATAGTTATTTTTTCTTTGGTTGATTCAATCTTATGTGTGTTATTTATATCTTGTGCAATACAGGAATGAAGAAGAGCTAGCTAAGGCGGCTGCTCAGCCTCTTCCAGATGACGATGATGAAGCATTTGACTAAACCTTTAGGCTTTCCAGAATTTAGCTGATGAAAAAAAAAGAATGATATTTCCTCTGCTTTAATGCATTGTAACGTTGGTGTAGTTTCATGATATAGAAAGCAGGAGTAAGGGTGGTGGGGTCTGTTTAATAGAGGCATAAATAAGCAGTATTTCTTAGTTTTGTTTCAGCTGTTATGCTATGGGTAATAGTTATCAATTGACTTATGTGTTATTAAGCTTTTGGAGTGATATCATACTGAATATGAGTTCCCTTGCTAACTTTTACCACAATGTTCCGCGGATGAAATGGAGTAATGGACCTCATCAACCATACCTCTTCACTTCTATAGTCTACAATTAAATGTTAAACTTTAATTGACATGGAAAGCCAATCCACTAATTACCATGCAATGATTTTAATTGTATTGTTAGTACTTCAATAGCCAGTTTTAATAGCCAATCTTTTTGTATGCATATTATTGAGATCCTATGAGATTTTCATTTTTACTATGATCGATTCAGTATCGTCCATACTTACAGTAATTAGCCTACTTGTTATGTCATCTGTAAAAAAAACTGTACAGATTATATCTTAGAAATATTTAGGGGATGATCTGCATAAGTGTAAGGCTACCATTTTCTGCAAATATATTTGGTTTGTACAGCAACGAAAGGCAAGATTTGAATTTCAAATTCTTCTGTGCATATTAAATAGATTAATAGTGTCTCATGGAGTCAGGGTTATATTATAGACTTGCAAATAAAATCACAATGAGTTTCAAAGAAACTTAACGAGAATGTAGCAAAAGACGAAAGGACTTGCAGTTCTGATGTTAAGGGCATAGTTTATCGTTTTAAAATGCTTCTGGGACATTTCTGATGCATTGATGCTTTGAGCATCTCCAATGTGGAAATTCAATTTCAGTTTTTGGCTTTCTTTTGAGTCTCTTGTTGTCATATAACATTTAATAATTCTCACTAATTTTACCACAAAAAAATAAAATTTAACTTGAATTCTTAACTTAGTTTTAACAAGTCTTATTTCACTTCTTCACTCACAAAAAATTTAGGAAACAGATTTTTATTTTAAGAAACCTTAGTAGCAATGGCTTGTTTGACCAACTTTTATAAAATTTTATGAGAACTCATTTTCTCAGATTTGATATTCTCAAGTAGCTTAACTTAAACGACCTGCGAAAGCAAATCACATTGGAGATAATCAGAGATGGATGTGAACGTAGACTGCATAGTATTATTACTTTGTTTGTTACATGTAAAAAGGAAAAAAAAAATCATATGAAAAAAAAAATCTCTTTAGAATTAACCAAACGGCACAGTGAACAGTTTATTATGTCTCACATGAAAGCAACAGGCACCAAACCGTTGCAGGACGTAATTTAAAACATTCCAGTTGTAGGATCTTTCACTTGGTTTGGTCGTTAAAAGGGAAAAAGCTTATGTGTTTTTTTTTTTTTAGTGATACGGTAGCACCTTGTATTCTGTGTTGAAAAGTGTTTTCCAGCTAGGTAACTTGTAAACCCTTCTAGAAGGCAATAAATAATGTTAGAATATGGTAGCAGTTGGTGGTTACTGGGTGGTCAATTGGCCTGGTCCATGTACATTATTAGGAAGAAAAGCTACAAGTCTGATTATACATTGAACCTTGAGTAGTAGCATAAAGGGTGGCAAATATCGGGGTGTTGATTGTGCTCCGTTAGGCTAGAACTAGAAGAAGAGTTCCCCCTTATTATTAATTAGATATTGTGTTTTTAGGTTGTTTGCTGAAAAGCGGGGCTGAAGTGGCAAATCTCATTCATGAGTGTACCATATGCTATAGCTTTTACATGCTCAATAAATTTGTGGCTTATCATAGTCACGTGAATCTGAATAGTGTAACACCAATTACCACATGACCGATGGCACCACATCACACACACGACACAGGTCACTGTATGAGAATTATTCAGTAGTAGTTTCATGAAGACACAGACACACACTCACTAAGTTGCCAATTGCCATGTCTCCATAACTTGTTACCTGCTGCAAGATAGGCGTGCCCTAATGGGCCAAAGATGTTGATGGCTTCCTCTCGTCCGAAGCTGAGCCTGTTGAGCTCCATTTGCCACAGGACTTGTCCCTTTCGATGTCGGTTCTAACCCACACCTACAGTCCCATTTTGCCATTACTACTCTACATACTGTACTCACAGTATGTGGCCACTAAGCTAAGCAGTGGTAGGAGCCCACCAAGGGGAAGAGTGGGACATGTGAAAGCTGGTCTTGACCATTGCCAGCACCAGCAGCAGGTCTATGAAATGTGAGTGAGTGAGTGAGTGAGGTCATAATAGAGAATTTTGACCATTGGCTACTAGAGCAGTACAGTGTCCAAATTTTCAGGAGCTGGTTAGTGGTTACCTCTTAAAACTTATTAACTAGGGCCCATTGTTCTCACATAGAGCACAATGTAAAATTCATCATTAAAAGGGAGAGTCAGAGGGGTGGCTTTCAATGTCGGTTGAGTGGTCGATCTTGGGTGCTGCTTTGGGCTAGCTAGGGCCTATTTAGAGGTTTATCTATCTCTCTTTCTATCTATCTCATTCTCATATCACTGCCAGGCCCTTACCATTTCTCATTCCTTTTCCCTTTGGTTTTGGAAGTCATCTTCTCTTGCTGTTCCTGAACGGGGCTCACTTTGCCATGTGGCCCATCCTGTCTTGCATCCTTTCACTTAACTGCCTATTCTTTCCTTTTCTTTTTTTCCTCTTTCCTCACCTGTTAATGCTGTCCATATGCACCTGTTCTCTGTGTCTCCTAATTTTGTTCTCTATCATGCATTTTCATTCCCATTAAATACCATCCCCATCACTTATACCCTTACAGCTAGCTAGCTCCTACTCCCTACATGCATATCTTAGTCTAATCCTCAAATCAATATATTTATACAATTGATTACAAGTCATCAATAAGGATATGGGTGTGTTCAAATCAATTAATGTAACCAACACCCAGAAAATGAGCGAGATGCATGCGGGGCTCGCTCATGCATGCATGTATTCGACTATATTGTTAACATTCAACGTATCTAATATAATCAGATCCCAAATACCCTATACACTGCAAACTAAAACACTAGTAGGTGAGGGTGAGGGATTATTTTCGGAAATAGGAACATGGTCTAACTTTATAATCTGATATACGTGCCTAAACTGAAAGGATTGCAACATGAAACCTTCACGGCGGCTAAGAAAACTTGGGAGAGTTTTGTTCTCGGAATTGTTTATGGATAGACATGACATAAGATCCTGGTTAAGTTGTCATAAATTTCCCTGTTAATGATGTATATAACAGCAGCAGTCCCACGTTTACCCTAACCCCCAACATGAGAGAGAGGAAAGTTATAAGTGGAAAAACTAGAGTGAGGAGCAATAGAATAGTAATAAGAATGTGACTTATCATCACATGGGCTATCAAGTGAGGATACATATTTACAACAAATATATATGGGGAGCCCCTCATGGTAGGGTAGGGAGGATGGTAAAGGGAGAAATAAGACTGATTATAGCTTTTTTTCATGTAAATTTGTAACAGGACATGTTCTGCAAAGGAAGCATGTGCTTACACATAAACGGTAGGGGCATCAATAGGAGGATAGGTAGCAAGTGTCACTGTCTATGCCATATGCACCTAGTGGTGATGGGAATTAGAGAGTAGGGGAAACCTGAATTTATTGGCAACAAGGACCGGTAGTTTCACTCCTATACTTTCCATTTCATTTCTTCCTCTCACTCTCACTCTCTCTCAGCCTGGTTGTGATGATTTGGATTCTCTTGCTCTAGTACTTTTCAGTCTCATATCACTTGAAAACTCACTTCCCTCTCTCCCTACTCTTCTAATCTCACCTCTAATTTGTTATCACACTGATTTATTATTAATGTACACTCACTCACTGCTCTGCTTTCTGTTCTATCTATATTAACAAATAACAATCCATGTATGATCAAGTACAGTCTGAATTCAACATTTCTACTAATTTAAAACTAACTTACAAGTCATCTGTTATTTTGTATGTCCTTATCCAAACACAAACTCTCATTTAAGGGAATAAGAAAACCAAAGGACCTATGCAGATACTTTTCATTCCCCTTTATTTATTACATTATGCCAGATAAGAATGGAGAAAAAAGGTAGAAGATTCCACTGTCAAAAGTTGAGGGCTGAAAGTTAGTTGTTACAAGCTAGAAAAGCAATTTAAATGGTGAATGCTACTTATTCATTTCTTGCACAACTGGGGACAAAACCAAACCACCCAAATCTGCACCTCATTAATAACATGTATTCTCTACGTCAGATAATTCAACTTTAATTTTTTTTAATATTTAATCATGCAAGGATTTTAGTTCGTCACCATTAATTATGTTAAGACAAATTTACACAAATCTCATAAAGTATTTTTTCAAATTTATCTGATATATTTCATGTCTAAAAGGGTTTAACACAACACAAAACTGAATTGAGAATGAAAAAGATAATACAAAGCTCATGTATATTAAGATTGCACAAGATTATATGTTCATATTACATATAAATGCAGTATATTCTGTTATCAGTGTTAAATAAGGTGGTATATATAAATAACTGAACATGAGTTCCGTATATTACCAAGCTAAACATGATTTAAAAAATTAATATCATATAGGACTTTAATGAATTAATTTGAAGCAGTTTCCATTAATTGTAGAGTCACTTCTCAAGATGTTTTTTTTTTTTTTTCTCAAATGGTAAAATTTACTTCTAATTATTATCGAATGATTTTTTTGTTCATATATATATAGGTCAAAGTCAAAGTCTAAATGATAAAGCCAATATAAAAAAAGTAAATAAAATTTAAATACTTGTTTTAAAAATGATTTTAACATGTATATCTAAACAAAATTTGAGTTCTGTCTTGATCATTGCTGAAATTTTAATTCTAGTTAGGTTAGTTTTCTTTTTTAATCATCCGTATTTTATTTATGTATTATCTGTTGCAAATATGCTATCAATAAAAACTAACATATTAACATCTAACATTTATCGATTTAAAAAATATAAACTAATAAGTAATATATATATAAACTAATTTTAAGAAGTGTGGACCAGTGTATAACATGATGAAAATCAGGGAGATGTATTTAGCTAGTATTTTAGCATGTAACATTATAGGTCATATGCTGCTTTTAATAAACTAAAATTTATAATAAATACATATATTTAATTTATGAATATGTTATAATTAAATTGAAAATTATAAATATTTTATACGAAGAAAGTATATTTTAGTTTTATGATAAAATAATACTGTTAATATTGAAACACATTTTAGAAATGGAGAGGGAAATGAGATATTAAAAGATATTATTTAAAGTATCTTGCACATGGCATAATATGCGTAAAATAAAAAATAGCACCTTGAAAGACGTTCATGTTATATAATTATTCTAATTAGATATTTATAGAGACAAATAATAGGTAAATATTTTATCTTTCAAAAATTTAAAATTAAAGTTATTTATTGATAATATTATAATTTATAGAGAGAAAAAATATTCTTAGAAAACTTTTGTTAACCTAAAAATATGGTTTTATTAAAATAAAATTTTTACTTCCTAATAAATTTTGGGTTACCACATTAACGTTATTTGTGAAACGATGAAATATTTTAATAAGTTTTGATCGTTTAAATATAGAACTTCTTCCCTGTCATATAAAAATATGTAATAAAAAAATAAAATGTCGACTATCAGTGGCATATCTTTTTGGAACCGAGGGAGCTGTGATTTCTCAAAGTTTTGTAATGTAATTTATAATTTTGATCTTGATACGTAATGAATATTTAATATATTTATTTTTATTTTTACAATTTTATCCTCTAAGTCTTTTTTTAGTTTTGTAACTTTTATATCATTTATGATTTTGTTCTCTCAAATTTAATATATTTAAGTATATATCTACAATTTTATCATTTTACATTTTCATCTTCTTTTTTCTTTTTATATTTATTTATTATTTATTCATAATATATTATTTAGTCCTCCAATACGAATTATCAAGATCCACCGTTAATGACGAAATTTGAATTCTATAAAAGTTTACAAAACTAAATTTTTTTCTATTTTTTAAAGCTCAAATATATTTGTGGTTTATTTAAAATTAAAAATTAATAAGTTACTCTTCAATATTTTAAAAAATATATATATAAATATAATTTAGAATCAAATTTATAATATGAAAAAATAGTATTAAACATTAAATTTAGGTATAAATATTGAGTATTGGAAAGTGTTGATTGATGCATTGTAGTAGTAATTCATTAGTAACAGTGAGTTTCATATGGAGTGTAAAATATTATTAATTCAATCATTTAATTTTAAAGTGGAGTTTGTCGTATGTGGCATAAAGGACTTGGTTGCATCAACTCAGGCCAGGCCTGCCGAGCTCCACAGTATGCTCATAAGTTGTTTGTTTCTTTGCTATGCATCTTCACCATTTTGACCTTTCATAAACTCCAACAACTTTTGATTAGTGAGAGGGAAACTCTGTCTGTTTACTCATAAAAAAGGAAACTTTGATTAAAGACGATATCTTTGTAACAGATATTATAGTGAGTAGAAAAGGGTGGGAGTGTGGAACAGGGTAGATTTGGAAATAAAGGAGGACTAAAGAAAGAAAAAAGGTGTTGAAGTCACATGGTCCCAAAATGTTATAGTATGTAGTATTTTGATGGCATCCAGATGGAGAGAGAGAGAGAGAGAGAGTGAGGTTTGTTTTGGAGTGCACAAAGATAACAACCTCTGGCAGTAGAAGTGATATGTGAGAATCACAATCCGTACTTTGAATGGTAGCATATTTGTGCAGATAATATAGACAGACCATTGATGATGATAATAATATATAAAGGGGGAAAATATTGTATATTTCGACTCATCTTAACCCTCGTGAATCGAGGGGCAGTGTTTGCACTTTTTCAGTTAAAAACAGTTATCTGTGGTGACCAACTTTACTTTTTCTCCACCATCCCCAAGATTTTATTTCTTCGCAGCAAGCAATACAGTAATTTATTGAACTTGTTCATATGCATGTCTGCTTTTATGCACAAATGAAGAAGCTGAACACAAAGTACTACGTTTTATGCTGTGTGTTTTGTCCCATTAAAACCATCCTTGTCCAATTATGTCTCTTCCCAATGCCCACTCATTCTATCTATATACACTATAATCAATTCACTTTCACCTAACTTTGCTCCCTCTCTCACCATAACCAACCTTCTCCATTCTTTATTCAA